AGAGTTTAGCTCTAGTGTCACTAGAAATAGCCCAAAATTTTAGGGTTGGGGATCAGCTCAATAGCTCAGCATGTGCTTAGCATATGTGCGGTCCTTGCTTTAATCAGCATCATTGACAAAAATTAATAAACATATAGGTATCTAAATACAAGTGCATACATATCTTTTCCAAGTACAGCCACCGGACTGAGCATTAACTGTGTAATAATAAGCTCTATGGTATTTATAAAATTTTAACCAAATACTTCATCACATCAAACCCATACTTTGGTCTTGTAAATAGCAGTGTTCACTGGCAACTATTTGAAATACTTTCCAGATTCTCACAATTGTTTGGCCTCTTTGCTAAGACCTGTGGTTATCAGCTACTGTGCATAACGAAATCAAGAGGGATCGAAAACATGCCTTGAGAACAGTTTAACGTCCTTTCATTCTGAGAAGGAAAATACACACAGCAAACCAAACAGCACCATTACAGCAGAACCAAGAATTAGGTTACCGGACCCTGTACGTTTATTACAACGTTTTTAGGCTCTGCCCAGTATCACATCTGCTCGGAATTTGGTTAAAGCCTGAACTCGAAGTAAACAAACAACTTCACGTGCGCTGGAAACCCAAGCATGCTCCAACTCATGGTTTTTTGTAAAGGTGGTGAAATCTCTCACCAGGCTCAGAACAGGCTCCAAATAATCACTTCTTCTTCTTCTTTGATTACAGACCACGGAGAAAATCTGGGTAGACTGTGGCATTAATGGCAACCAAGGACAAACCTGTCCGGGAAGCAGGAACGCGCTTCTACCTAGAGTCAGGATGCCAGCCCTGAATGCTGAGCTTTCCTCGGTGATGATGCCCCAGCGATGTTCCCTGAGCAGGAGGAGGCATGGCCCCTCTTAGCTCGATCTTGGGAGGCCAGGTGACCACCTGGAGCTCCGAGACACTGGTCCGCGCACGCTTTCTCGACCCCCACCCCCCACGGCGCGGCCCCCCACTCACCGCACACCATCAGCAGCAGGACGATCAGCAGCGTGGCCACGAACACCAGCAGGGTCAGCCCCACGTTGTGCCACATCTTGGGAGCTGGAGGGTGGACGCGGGCTCAGCGGCGGGCGGCGGAGCGGCTGGGCGGCATGGGTGGCGGGCGCCCGAGGGCAGCGCCCCCAGGGGGCGGGACTGGGCGGTGCGGGGGCGGGCGGACCGCCGCGGCGGCGGGGCCGGCCCGCAGACCTGCCCCCCGAGCCGGGGCGACCGAGTCTCCGGAGGAGCGGGCCGCGAGGCGCCACTACCGCCTCATCGCTCCGGGGAGCCGGGGCCGCGGCGTGCAGAGGCCGGCGGCGAACGGACGCGCCGCCATGGCGGACACCGAAGGGGAAAGCGTGAGCCGGGGGTGGCGCGGCGGCCGCAAGGCCCTGGCGGCGGCTCGCGCGAGCTCCCCACGGCCCTCGGAGACGCCCGAAGCCAACCACTCCCCGAGGCCGCCGCCGCCGCTGCTGCTCCTCCGCTCCCCGCCCCCTCCCCCGCGGCAGCTCATCACCAAGCACCCTCTCTGCAGCGACTCCGCCGCTGCGCGGGGCCTGCTGGGAAATGGAGTGCGAAGCTCCGTACCAGCTGCTGGTCTCCGCCCAACAAGGAACTACAACTCCCAGGACTCAGCACTGCTCAGGGTTTTGCCTTGCTCTCTCCTTTTTCTGTCCCCTGTGCCTTTGGTGTTCTGGAGCCACCACCTCTGAAGACTGCTGGCTAGTGTTCTTAAAAAGCCTGTGCGTGGGGCTGTCTCCCTTACTAGGCTATGGCGAGGCGCCAGCGACATTTCAGCCATTAATCCAAATACAAAATGGTTTTTAATGAGCGACAGGGAAAGGGGAAGGCGGTTGCCTGAAAAACTGGTTGCACTTGAACCCAACCTATTGCCGCCGGCGAATGCTGGATACTTGTGAGGAAATAGGTCCCCCGACCGACAGATGTCAGAATCTGAAAAGCCTTTTCCCCTCCCCCCAGCAACAGATGTGTTGTCACAGACGTAACTGTTCAGACGTAACTGGTGAGTGACTTAGGGACATCTGTGCACTTAATTCACCTACCTGCTTAGCAAGTGTTGTTCAACTGTTTCCGTGAATTCAAGCGACTTATGACCCAAAACTGAAGTTTTGCCACATTTGCGTGAACTAACTTCTGAGAAGCGAGGTACAATCGCAAGCACTTTCCTTCACTTGAAGGTAAAACTCATTGGTTCTGGCACATCCGTAAATGCAAACGGTGCCCCACAAAAAAAGGGAATTAGCGCTTTCTTGGGAATTCAGGGCTTGCAAGTTCCTCTGCAACTCTGTTGCTCCCCGCAAGACTTTTCCACAAATTCCTGTTCCCCGTCTTCATGTCTCCACACACACATAAATCTAAGAAATTTCTTGGTTTAATAAATATACCCCAGCCATTCCCAGATAACCTACTGTGTAGGCTGCATTCCAACGAAGAAGCAACACTGTCAATAAATGCATATAAAAATACATTAAGGCACTAGCTCCTTTGCACAAGATTCAATATACAGTTCCTGTGAAGAAAGTGAGCTCAACTCAATAAATATAGAAATCAACTTATTCATTTTTAGTGGGTGATCCAATTCACTTGCATAACAGCACATTTGATTACAATCTGGTTGAAAGGAACATATTTGAATAGATCTACTTCAAAAGAAATCAGAAAGAATTCAAGGTTTTTACCTTCTCTTTCATATATAACAAGCCCTTCTGTGTGCCATGGATTTCTTCGAGGCACCGAGGACAGAGTTTGAGATGAAAATGGCGCCTGAGCTCAAGGTGACCTTATTGTAGGTGAAGATACAGACAATAACATAATGAGGGATGTACAAACTCCCAATGAAAACAAGGCAAAGTGGCGAACATTGGAGGAATCAAGGAAGACCTACCTGAGGAAGTGACCATATGGTCTGAGTCCTGATAAGAATCCAGCCATGGAGACACCTACAAGAAGAGATCCTGGATAATAAGAACAGCATGTGCAAAACCCCCAAGGACCAAATAAACTTGACCTTCCTTCTGAACCCTGACAGTGTTTCTCAAGCCTGGATGCACATTTGAATCACCTAGACAGACTTAAAAAACTACAAATGGCCATATATTATCCCCCACACTGAAAGAATTCTAGTCTCCAGGGCAAGGCCCAGGCAAAGTGTGTGTGGGTTTTTTGTGTTTTGTTTTGTTTTTGTGCTCCCAGGTTTTTGGAATGTATCCTCCAAAACCGTGGCTCGCAAAGAATAATCTCAGATCAGCAGGATGCTCTGGGCAGGTGTCAGAACTGCCTCAGAAGCACTATGGGAAATCTAAGTCAAAGGCTTGGATGAGGGTACTCATCTCTGGCTTGATGAAAAGTGGCCAGATATAAGACACATTTTGGAAGGAACACATTAGGATTAGAGGTAAAGACCAAAAAACAGAAATCTAAATTAACTTGAAAAGCCTGGATCAGTGATGTATACCAGTATTGTTAGCTCTTGGAAGGAGGAGGCAGAAGGATCAGAAGTTCGAGGCCAGCCCTAGCTATATAATGAGGTCAAGACTAGCATGGAGTGTATGAGACCATATCTCAGAAAAACAAAAGACTCCTGTGTGGAGAAAAGGGAACCCTTACACACTAATGAAAATGTAAATTTAAACTGTGATTATAGAAAACCACATATAGGCACCTCAGAATACTAAAATTAGCGGTACCACATGACCCAAGAATCTTATTGCTGAGTATATATCCAAAGGAAATGAAATCAGTATGCTGAAGGGACATCTGTGCCTCTGTGTTCGTTACAGCAATAGTTGACAGTAGCCAAGATGGGGAATCAAGCTAATTTTCATCAACAGAATGAGTAAAGTAAATGTCGCTGAGTAGAACACAGAGCATTCTATTCAGCAGTAAAGAACAAAATCATATCATTTGCAAAAAAGCATGGATAACTTAGAGGATATTATATTAAGTGAAATAAACCATCCAGACAAACACAGCATGATCTGAAAATGTTGATCTCAGAGGAGGTGGGAATTGAATCCACCCTGCCCTGAAAGCAGCTGGTGGATAAAGGGAACTGGGAGAGGAGAGGTGCTGGTCAAAGTTTATATATTACAGTTAGGTAAGTTCATGATCATGTGTGTGGATGCCACTCACCATAACACATTATATCTTTAGAAGAAGGGAAAGATAGTGGATGTTAACTGATAACTCTGAGCCTGAAGAGACAGAAAGCACTTAAGAGTTCACACTGCGTTTGCAGAGGAAACAAATTCAGTTCCCAGCACCCATGTCGTATAACTCCAGCTCCAGGGGACCTGATGCCCTCTTCTGGCCCCCATGGACCTTGTACTCATGTTCACAAATCCACACAAAGACACATATGTATACACATAATTAATTTTTTTGCATCTTTAAAAACTAGTGTGAGGCAAAGCACGTTTTTATTACGTTTACATATATTACAAATACTTCAAAGCATCATGTTATGCACATTATACAATACAGTATCACCTGTCATTTAAAACTCCCAAGTTTCTAACCAAAGCTCCTGGGTGAATGATGGCACAGTTTCCTGCCACAGGGAAGACAATGTAACCGTTTTCTCTGAATATTTTAAGAATCCCTATTTTCACAGCTGTGGTGGGTCGTGTTTGATTTCCCAGACTCAGGGAAAGGGGCGGGGGATCAGGAATTCAAGGACAAGCCTGAACACACAAAAGCTAAAGGAAACCCTCCATCTTAAAAGCAGGGTCATAGAACAAGCCTAGCACTTAAAGGAACCTGTCACCCACAGAATGCCAGAAAGCAGGCTGGGGCCTCAGGGAGGGGTAGAAGTAGATAGGCTAGGAAGGAGGAGGGAGAGGGCTCTGTCTATACATCCATGGGGGAGTCACCATCCCTGCCGGATTCAGACTTTCTAGTGTGTCCTGCCCATCACCTCTCACCCATTGCTCTGTAAGCAAGCCTAATCAACTCATTGATTCTCCCGAGTAAACTCAGATGGACCAGTTCCTCGGTTTGTCAGCATCTTGGGAGGAGGAGATGTTGTTTGTGTCTCTCTTATGGGAGAAATTTTAGCAGTAGGTCTGATCTCACTTGAACTTGCAATCTAAAATGGTTAATCGCATCTAAATTAGGAGCAGATGGAGGTTACCAGAGACTGGGGGTTGATCCTACTGGGGTGGGGAATGCAGGCAAATGGGTCAGAACCAGGTGTCAGCCCAGTGTCTTCACCTGCGTTTACTGTACCCCTCTCCCAGCAACGCACCTAACAGCCTCAGGGCTTCCTCATACCCCCACCTGTAGCAGTCTGTACACATCCCTTCATCTAAGTTTTTCCACCCCTAAAAACAGTCAGATTTGGATAGTTTCTATTTGTGGATATTCCCAGTGTGTCAGGGTAGGAATAATGAAAAGGTTGATGATTCAGCTTGAACTGGTTTGGGGTGCATACCCAGTGAGGCAGAACAGTTTAAATAAGTGAACTTTTAGGGAGAACATCCTATTTACCATCTCTAGTTGGTTTTTTGACTCTTTGCTCTTTGGGGGCCCACCACTCAGCTCCCAAATAGATACACAGGGATTTATTCTTACTTATGAATGCCCAGCCTTAGTTTGGGTTGTTTCTAGCCAGCTTTTCTTAGCTTAAATTATCCCGGGTACCTTTTGCCTCTGGGCTTTTACCTTTCTCTATTCTACTTACCTGTCTTTTCTTCTTACTCTATGGTTGGCTGTGTGACGAGGTAAATGACCCCTGGCATTCTCTTCTCCTTTTTCTCCCTCTTCTCTCGTTTCCTTCACCTATTTATTCTCTCTGCCTGCCAGCCCCACCTGTTTCTCTTTCCTGCCTTGCTATTGGCCATTCAGCTCTTTGTTATAACTACCAGGTATTTTAGACAGGCAAAGAAACACAGCTTTACAGAGTTAAACAAATACAACATAAAAGAATGCAGCACATCTTTGCACAACTAAACAAATATTCCACAGCATGAAAGAATGTAACACATCTTTAACTAATATTCCACAACAACCATCGTGTGCTTATGTATAATTAGGTATGCATATAATTAAAATCAGATGCATTATGAGCAAGAACATGCACATCAAGGGGGAAAA